TTTTTTTTTTTTTTTTTAAAGTCATGGCCTAAAATAGGGGATTTAGTGTTTAAAAAAAAATTTTTTTTTTCCTTTAATTTTGAATTGGAGTCTCACTCCGTCGCCCAGACTGGAGTGCAGTGGCACGCTCCCGGCCACCGCAGCCTCGACCCGCTGGGCTCCGGCGGTCCTTCCGCCTCAGCCTTCCGAGTAGCCAGAAGTACAGGCGTGCACTACCACGCCCGGCTAATTTTTTTGATTTATTGTAGAGGTGAGGTCTCGCTAAGTTGCCCGGGCGGGTCTCGAACCCGCGGGCTCAGGCAATCCACTCCCCTCGGCCTCCCAAAGCACTGGGATTACAGGCTGAGACACCGAGCCCGGCTGGGGGCTTTAGTTTTTGAGGATGGTACAGATATTTTGCATTTAAAAATTTAGGGTTGAGACAAGACCCATGTTGCCCCAAATCTGGGATCCTGATGAAAGCCTTCAACAATAGTGGACCAGGGATTCACTTATTTATGAATGCCTATATGTGAGTCTAATATTATAGGCATTACTGGCAATAAAAGCACAAATAATTGTATTATCAACATTTGTTTACAGTTACACTATGAAAGTGATCATTGCAGTACAAAAAGTTTCTAGGGACTGGGAGGGCTTGCCATTTGAACTGAGGCTTTGAGGCTAAGTAGTTTTCCAGGCAAAGTAGTTGCATTGAGACTAGGAGACACTAATCCATTCTCCAGAGTACATAGTGTGACATTTTAAAAATCAGTTACATACCAAAAACCTTTCCTTGATTTTTTTTTTCCCCTAGAGACAGAGTCTCACTATGTTGCCCAGGCTGGCCTCAAATTCCCGGGCTCACAGGATCCTCCTGCTTCCCAAGTAGCTGGGACTACAAGCATGCGACCCTGTGCCCAGCTCTTTCCTTGACTTTTAGTTGCAGTTAGAATAAAATTCAAACTGACACAGCCTGCTCTGCTTATGTATCCAACCTCTTCTACCACCATTGTTTCTCCTCACCCATTAAACTGTCCCAACACTTTCCCTCAACTATAGTGTGCTCTCTCATCACAGGGCTTTTGCACGTTTCTGTTCCTGATGCTCTTCCTCCAGCTCTTCACGTCTGTTTCAGTCTCATCCTTTAGGTCTCAAGAGTGCTGTCATGCAATTGAGTCTTCTCTACCCTCCTATGCTTCACTCTTTATTTCCTTAACAGAACTTGAATTAGAACCTTTAATTATCTTGTTTACTTTCTAACTTGTTTATTGTCTGTTTTTCCCCTTAGAACATAATCCATATGGCAGAGATGCTTATTTACAACTATAATCCCCAAGGTTCAGCCCAGTGCATGACTCCTGAATGTCAGAATGCCAAGAAATTCTGTATGCCTGATGCTATATGACTGGGAAATAAGCTGGAAATATGGCTTGGGGTCAAATTCCCATGATAAGGACTTTAAATATTTGAATATTCATGGTTTTCAACATTGCCCCATACTATTTCTTGCTTATTATTTTTCCTTAAATAGATTGACTTTTTAAACATAAATTTATACTAAAAAGAAAACCAGTATTTTTCTACTACAAATTCAGATAAAAGCATAACTGTTAACAAATGTTTGCCTATCTATCACCTAAAACCATCTCAAGTAACACCAATGGTTTACATATAAAACTTTGGGAAATCCTGCCAAATGTAAAGATAGTGATGGTTTAAGCAAGAGAGTGGCACAGTCATAAGTATTTTATAAAGAAATATGACACTAGTGTGGAGGATGTTAAGAATGGAGTTGAAGACCAATTAGGAAGCCACAGTAGTGAGAAAGGACTGGATTTGAACTAAGGCAATTAATATGGACAAAACAGATTAGGAAGTTTATATAGGTAGTAGATTCAATAGTAAGTGACTGATTAGATTATGGAAAAGAAGGGCTGAGGGTGGATCTGAGGTTTCTGGCTTATATAACTGAGTAGATAATAATTCCAATAATAGAGTGAGTTGAAGAGGAGAAGATATGGAAAAATGGAATTTATTTGAGGTATGTAGGTTCAAAGTGCTTCTGTCATGTTCAGGTGGTCATGTCCAGTATGTGGAAATATAGATGTAAAAGCTCAAAACAAGCTGGAGTATAAGAAATAGATTTGAAAATAGTGTGTAGTGGAGTTTAAACCACCATAGTGGATGAGATTGCCAGTGAGAATGGGTAGAACTTGAGGAGAAAGGGACAAGGACAAAACGCAGGCCAAATGTCTGGAGGAGGGGAGGCAGGCTGCCTTTCTCCAGCTGTACAATCTTATTTCTACCACCTCAAAAATAATAATAAATATTTCTTATTTAGTATATATGTAAAAGAATAGAGCTGTTTTAGAGCTCCTGATATATAGATCTCAAGAAAGAGTCAATCTGGCTCACTAGACAAAAATCTATTTTTAATTGTATAAAATTATACATATATAAAATACATAGAAAGTACTAAAAAGATAAGTAAAATCTTTGACACCAAAGGTGGACAGACCAGGGAACAATTTTTCTCAAGTTCTTTGGGATCTTACCAATTGGTATTTGAGAAAAATAATCCAGGAGGTGCAAGGACAATTCTTCCCACAACTTATACCCCTTGACACTTCTTCCCAGAGAAAGGGGCATAAGAGAAACTGAAATTTTTTATGATTCTTGGGTTGCAAATATCAATAAAAACAGATAAACACACCTGTTATTTAATGTGGGAGTCTCTACTCCAATTCTACACATGTGCTTGGAGAATTCAAGAAAGCCTCTTTCAAGCACTAATACAATTGTCAGTGAATTCCTTACCTTTGATCCCATATGTACTGGTCACCAAGAAGACTTCAAAAGCAAGAAAGTTGCCTTTTATCTTGCCCCTATCTAATCCAAAAGAGCAAATTGTGGACTGCTTCCTAATCTGTTTTTAAAAGCAAAGCCTGTATAGTTGTTATATGGAAAGCCCCAATTCCAGGAATATTAAACTTCCCAAGCTCAGTTTAGAAAGTCCACCGAGCAATAATATAGTATAAAAGGTCACAGAAACAAGGGGGAAGTATATCTTAGAAAGACCTCCAAAAAATTCTTCAAAAGGAGAAGGCTTTAGCTGTACTCCATGTGATTTCTCTCTTACTTCACCCAGTAGAGAGGTGGAGAAGAACAGTATTAAAAACACAAATAGGCCGGGCTCGGTGGCTCAGCCTGTGCTTTGGGAGGCCCGTGCTTTGGGAGGCCAAGGTGAGTGAATTGCCTGAGCCCAAGTGTTTGAGACCCGCCTGGGCAACTTGGTGAGACCTCATCTCTACATTAAATCAAAAAAATTAGCCTGGCATGGTAGTGCATGCCTGTAGTTCCAGCTACTTGGAAGGTTGAGGCAGAAGGATCGCCGGAGCCCAGCAGGTTGAGGCTGCGGTGGCCAGGAGCATGCCACTGCACTTCAGTCTGGGTGACAGAGTGAGACTCCAACTCAAAAAATAAGAATAAAAAAAAAAAAATAAATAAAAACACAAATAGGCTGGATGTGGTGGCTCACACCTACAATCCGAGCACTTTGGGACGCCAAGACGGGAGGATCACTTGAGACCAGGAGCTCGAAACCAGCCTGGGCAGCATAGCAAGAGCTTTTCTACAAAAAAATCACAAAAGTTAACCAGGTATATTGGCATGCTCCTGTAGTCTCAGCTACTTGGGAGGTTGAAGCAGAAGGATTGACTGAGTACAGGAGGTCAAGGCTGTGGTGAGCCATGATTGTGCCACTGCACTCCTGTCTGGGGGACAGAGTGACCCTCCAACTTAAAAAAAAGCACACACACAATTAGCTGATCATTGATTCTCTTTCCCTTCTTACAGTCTCCCAAGGTCCCAGTTAAGAAGTACTATAATACTAAAGTCTCATCTAATTTTCCTGATCAACTCATGCTGTAATAATCAAGGTAGAGGAAGAAGAAAGAAACATGAGAATCTAAGGTATGTACCTCTAAGGCAAGAAGCAGCAGCAACTTCATGGGAATGAGAAGAACATGGCTCTCACTCACCAAATAGGATCAATAATACTTGCAATGAACAAAATTTTGGGAGGAAGGAAATATATAAATATGTTTTTACTTTCTAAATCTCTGTAGACAGGAAGATCTAAATGCAGGGTTAACTAAGCTGGGTGAGCAGGGGAGAAGTTAAAAAGGAATACTGAAAGATTCAACCCTGACCCTCCTTTTTACTGTAGAGTGCATCCAGAAGTCTGGACTACTGGTATGGTATAGATATGCCCCAGAAGCAACTTCGGTACTAAACCCTCATGAATTATGTTTATAATTTCTCTTTTGTTTCTGGGCAGTATCTCTGGAGTGATATAAATAACAAGCTGGATCTCCACTTCATTTGGAATAATAAGATAGGGAAGCTTCAAAACAAAGGGGCATTTGGAGGCAGAGGAGTAAAGTAGTGGTGGGAAGGAGGAGGGGGTACCAAGCAGGTAACCCTCTTCAGACAAACTAAAACCAAAAGCGTCATACTTATACCCTGTTTGAGTACAAGAGAAAGCAGGAATGAGAGTAAGGATGCGGCACATTATCCTTATTCAGGCTACCTGTTATTTTGAAAGAAGGAGACATGAACACATAGTCACTTGTTTAGTGTTACTAATATGACTACACAGAATTAATCTGGAAGTTTAAGGGCTAACAAAGCTCCAAAGATAGCCTGCTTTTTCTTATAAAGTGTTTGAAATGAAACTTCATCCAAAAACTGGAAGTAAGAAAAGGTATCTCTTAGCAAATGGGAATCCAGGTATAGAATTTATACATATATATCTATATTTTAAAGTATAAAATTGAAAAAGTATGTACAGAAATCATCCTAAATCTTGGAAAGGAAACATACAAAAAAGGACCTGGAGAGGATGAGGAGTATGTCGGGGGATGATGGCCTAGCAGTTGGAAGAGTGCATATTGCCCAACTGCCCAGCAGCCAGCATGAGAATATCTTTCTTCTCCTTGTGGAAGCGCAGCTCCTTGCCTGCCAGTCGGGCTTCATCTAGTTCCCGTTCAGTGGAGGCCAACTCTCTAGACAGTGCCCCTGGCACACTCTGCTCCCGGCTCACCCAGTCCAAGGCCATTTGGTGGCGAATATCATCATCCAGGGCCCGGTGTGAATAATGCGCCAGCACCTCCTAGTGGGAGGGGAATGTGAAGATCACTGAGGAGATAAAGGTTCATATAACACATTGACCCAGCTGGGACTGGAAATCCTAGCTTTGGAGACCTAACACCCACACCTAAGTCCTTCAATGAGATTTTTTTTTTTTTAAGTTGGAGTCTCACTCTGCCACCCAGGCTGGAGTGCAGTAGCATGCTCATGGCTACTGCAGCCTCGACCTGCAAGGCTCAGGCAATCCTTCCCAGCCTTCCAAGTAGCCAGAACTGCAGGTGCGCGCCACCACACCCAGCTAATTTTTTGATTTATTGTAGAGACGAGGTAATGCCAAGTTGCCCGGGCTGGTCTCGAACCCCTGAGCTCAGGCAGTTCTTCGCCTTGGCCTCCCAAAGTGCTGGGATTACAGGCTTGAGTCACCACACCCAGCCTCAAGGAGATTCTTAAGGGAAACTTCCTAGAGAGGGAAGCGAGGCAGGCAAAAGAATCACAGTTAAGATTAAAAAAAAAATTAAAGACCCTCTCAATATCATGGATCTCTAAACCAGATGAATCTATAATGACTTTAAAACTCTGATGTCAGCATAGTCAGTAGACATGTCTTCCTGTCTGTGTGTATGTATATGCCCCTGAATGGGGCCCAGGCAATAGTTGGATTAATAGTTCCACCAAAGTCAACATATTATTTTACGTACTCTAAAATTTCTGTACTTGACCATATGATCACTTTTGCTAATTTTTTTTTAAGTGATCTCATTCCATCTCAACCCTGACTTCGGGTTAGCTTCACTTGGATGGGTTTTTAAAAAATTGCTTAGACCCTACCACTCTCCAGGTCAACTAAATCACAAGCTTCCCAAGTGTTACTACCATGCAGTTTGAGTTGAGAACCATTCGTCTATCTTTTCCTTGACTAGCATCTGTTTTCCCTTGATTGATATGAACTGTGGTAGTCTTCTTGCTTTAAATTGTCCACTACTGTACTGGTTGGGTTTCTTTTGGTTAGCCACTTTGAGAGGTTTGTACGGAAGCAAAAAGTCAAAATCAATTTTAAAAGTTTTTATCAGATTTACTCGATGCTCTCTGGTGATGTGAAAGTTTGATATCTTCCCACAATTGGAGGTACCTAACATTTCCCTTTGGGGAGTGAAGGATGAATTTAGTGTTAGTTGGTCCATGTCCTGTGATGCTCAAAACTATGACAACCCATAAATAAAATTATGAAATTCGAAAAAAAAAAAAAGATTTAAATAGGGGCCAGGCTCGATGGCTCAGCCTGTAATCCCAGCACTTTGGGAGGCCAAGGTGAGTGGATTTCCTGAGCCTTCGGGTTTGAGACCCACCCAGGCAACTTGGTGAGGCCTCATCTCTACAATAAACCACAAGAATTAGCTGGGCGTGGTAGTGCGTGCCTGTAGTTCCAGCTACTTGGAAGGCTGAGGCGGAAGGATTGCTGGAGCCCAGCAGGTTGAGGTTGCGGTGGCCAGGAGTGTGCCACTGCACTCCAGTCTGTGCCACAGAGTGAGACTCCAACTCAAAAAAAAAAAAAAAAAAAAGATTTAAATAGGAAAGATTATAGGAGTGAAGAAGGTACTTAAGTAAAGCTTTCAATATTCGCAACTTGGTAACTATAGTTTTGCTTATGAATAACATAGCTGGTACTTAAAAAGACTCTTCTGCTAGACTCTTGCCTCCCCTTCCCCCCCACCACCACATAAGATCTCTTACCTGCCGAGAGCACTGTCTTTCTCTCATGGCCTTAAGGCTGCCATTCCAGTGCAACAGTTGGAAAACTGTCATTAGCTCCTGAGGGAAAAAGGTATGAAGTACCAGGACAGTGATTTTATATTGGGAGGTTGTATCAGAATTACATGAGAAACATTTTGCTAAAATATCCTAACCACCTTCTTTCCCTCCCAGTATCAATGAGTTAGGGATTAGTAGGAAGCATTTTGTATACAATAGTAGGCTGACCCATGTTATTAAAGTCAGGAAAGTACATGGAACAGTACCTGGAACTCCAACATTGACTTGCCCTTGTTGGATTCCAACATGAATCGGAAGGCACCAATCCCTGTATTTGGGTTGTCAGCTTCCTCCCTGTTGCCCTGGTAACAGGAAAGGAAAAGACAAATAGATTTTCAATCAGGATTATTGTCTTGAGCAGCACTGTCCAACAGAAATATATAGCAGCCACGTATTTAAAATTTTTTAGCCGCCACATTGAAATAAAAATAAACAGGTAAAATTTAACCCAGTACATTCAAAATACTATTTTTCAACTGTAATCAGTATAAACGTTATTAACAAAGCATTTTACATTCTTGTACTCAGTTTCTGAAATCTGGCATCTCTTCTTTACTTAAAGCACATCTCAACTCATACAAGCCACATTTCAAGTGCGCAAAACCTATTTGTAGCTAGGGGCTAGTCTATAGGTCAGCACAGACTCTTAGGTCATCACACATTTCTTTTTATTTTTTTTTCTTTTTGAATTGGCATCTCTGTCACCCAGGCTGGAGTGTAGTGGCATGCTCACAGTCACTGCATCCTCAACCTGCTGAGCTCAGGTGATCCTTCTGCCTCAGCCTTCCAGGTAAGTTGGAACTACAGGCGTGTACCACCACACCTAATTTTTTGGTTTATTTTAGAGACAAAGTCTTGCCAAGTTGCCCAGGCTGGTCTCGAACCCGTGGTCTCAGGCAGTCCTCTTGCCTCCGCCTCCCAAAGTGCTGGATTACAGGCATGAGCCACTGCATCCAGCCATCACACATTTCATCTTGGGAAATAGAAAAAGGTCGATCTGGTTTTCCCTTTTTTTTTTTTTTTTTTTTTTTTTTTACAAAGAGGAAACACTGAGGCATAGAGAAGTGCTCTGATTTAGCCAAGAAAATAGAGTGAGTTAGACATACAGGATTGAACTAGCCTAGAGGACAACTGGGTAATGAATTTGAAAGGGAAACAGTAGGAGCCATAAGCATGCAGAATTCTGAGTAGCAGTTTGACCTTCTGGACATTTGCCTAATGTGTTTTCTATCGGTTATATAACCCTGCAGGGGTAGAACTAAGATGTACTGTTCTACCTTCAAACCTAGTATGTGTAAAAACCAACGCAGTATAGAAGTTAAGAGCACAGACTGGAACTCCTACTGGTAGACTGGCCCTGGTGAAGTCACCTAACCTCTCTATTCCCCAGTTTCCTCATCTGCAAAATGGGAATGATCATAGACCCACTTTATAGTATTATTTTGAGAATTAAATATATTTTCTAAATTAAAAATAAAATTTTATGTTATTTTATTTTTTTGAGACAGGGCCTTGCTCTGTTGTCCCGGCTAGAGTGCAGTGGTACAATCATGGCTCACTGCAGCCTCCACTTCTTGCCTTAGCCTCCACTTCTTGCCTCAGCCTCCACCTCTTGCCTCAGCCTCCTGAGTAGCTGAGACTACAGGTGCATACCACCACACCCTGCTAAATTTTTTTTTTTGGAGACAGTCCCTCACTCTATTGTCCAGGCTAGAGTATAGTGGTGTGATCACAGCTCACTGAAGCCTCTACCTCCTGGGCTCAAGGGATCCTCTTGCCTCAGCCTCCTGACTAGTTAGGGTTATAAGTGCATGTCACCACACCCTGCTAACTTTTTGTAGAGATGGGGTCTTGCTATGTTGCCCAGGCTGGTCTTAAACTCCTGGCCTCAAGCAGTCCTCTTGCCTTGACCTCCTAGCATGCTGGGATTATAAATGTGAGTCACTGAGCCTGGCCAAAAATAAATATATATATTTTTTTAGTTGGAGTCTCACTGTCACCCAGGTTGAAGTGCAGTGGCTCAGGTGATCCTTCCTCCTTAACCTTCCAAGTAGCTGAAACTACAGGCATGTGCCACCACACCCAGCTAATTTTTTGATTTATTGTAGAGACAAGATCTTGCCAAGTTACCCAGGCTGTTCCCAACCCCTGGGCTCAGGCATTTCTCTTGCCTCTGCCTCCGAAAGTGCTGGGATTACAGGTGTGAGCCACTGCTCCTGGCCCAAAAATAAAATTTTAAAAGGGATAAATGTGGTCTGGAAACTTCAATCATATAAAATGTAGGTGCATTATTGTTACGTAATCCAAATCCATTCTGATATTGGCTATAATTTGGTGACATTTGGTGGTAGTTTTTCTCTCTGGCTTAAATATTGGGGATGATTCCAGATCTTGGTGCTGGCTGGAACTTCCAAAACAGGGCATCTCCTGGTTGATTGCTGACCTGGTTTACTGACCTTTTGGCAATTTGATATAGGAAAACAGGGCCAGGATGCTACTGGGAATGCAGGGACCCAACTTTCTCCTCCTGCTTCCTGAGATGTTGGCTGTTCTTTCTAGCCAATTCCACATCTCGCCACATTCCAGATGAGAACTTTATTCTGTATTCTTTGAGAAAGGAAACTGGGTAGAGGTCAGGAGTCCATCAGTTTATATCCAAATTCAGTTTATTGTGGAGCACTTTATCATGGGGTTTTTCTCTTTATGTATCACACTTAAAATCAGATGCCAGGCACTTAGTAAGTAAGCCACAAGTGCTAGCTAATTATTATTACTGTTTTTACTGTGTGAATTCAACTGGAGGTCAAGACTACTCAAGAGCAACCCATATTGTTTTGTGACATGAGAAACAACCATGCTACACATGTGAATTAATCTTTGTGGTGAAACATGAATCACAAAATTTGGATTTATAAGTGGAGGGCTTTAACTGGGAAGAAGGAAAACGGTATTCTTCAAAATTAGGCTTTAGGGCTCTGAGGCAAGCAGCTGTTTCTTTTTTATTTTTAACTTGTAACATTTCATTTTTACTTGTAATTCTTCAATATGATACCTTATTCAGTGCCTTTCAAACTTTTCCATGACATGGCACATGTAAAATAATTACCATATCTGTATAGCAAACTGGAATATACAGAGGAGGCTCTTGGCAACTAGGGTGACTTTGGACAGAGGAGTTCATCTGCCCTAGGCCTTGCCCTGTTCCCTGAGAACTGAGGGAATCAATATCATGGCACACCTGCAGCCTATCTGGAGTACAACAGAATGACATGACCCACCAGTTGGGAAGTTCTGCCTCACATCACACTTCCACACCTAACATGGTTAAACCAACTCCATTTATTCAACAAATATTTAATTACAGAATACCTGATAAGTGAAAGGATCATTAGAATAGAGTTAGAAGCCGGGCTCGGTGGCTCAGCCTGTAATCCTGCACTTTTGGGAGGTTTAGGTGAGTGGATTGCCTGAGCCCGCGGGTTTGAGACCTGCCTGGGCAACTTAGCGAGACCTCATCTCTACAATAACTCAAAAATTAGCCGGGCATTATAGCGTGCGCCTGTAGTTCCAGCTACTTGGAAGGCTGAGGCTGAAGGATCGCCACAGCCCAGCAGGTCAAGGCTGAGGTGGCCAGGAGTGGCCACTGCACTCCAGTCTGGGCGACAGAGTGAGACTCCAACTCAAAAAAAAAAAAAAAAAGAATAGAGTTAGAAAGGAATCAGAGATAATTTAATTCAACTGACTTATTTTACAAATGAGAAAACTCAGACCCACTGAGACTAGGTGATTTGTCAAAAGGCAGAGTACAACATAGTATCACATTCAGGACCTTTAAAGAACAAAAGCTGAAAAGAAAAAATGTGGGCATCACTCTTTACCCATGCCTAAGACCAATGAAAACTTATTCTGGAGAATGGGATTCCACTGGGAAATTAATAAGCAATCCATTAAATTCGCAATTTTGGGGGTTAATCAAAGAGGAATAGTAGAATGGAAATAGTAGTAGTTCACATTTCTTAAACACTTTGCAGTAGACACTGCTGGTGACATACTCAACATCTTTCCTTCTTCCTTACTATAGAACTTTAATCTTGTTTAGTGACCACTGGTCTCTCGTGTGCCTCAGGGGAGAATTATTTTATCTCAACTCTAGAGAATAAAGCCCAATCCCCTTTGCCAGTAATTTGCTTTAAAGTGAGAATTCTGTCCATTGGAAAGTTGAAGGGAGGTCTTCCAGGGGATTTCTGGGAAGGAATTCCTTACTTACCTTATTAGAGATACTACAAAAGATTATCTATATTTCTAAATACTGGTAGTCCCAAAACAATGTTTATACATTTTAAGAGATATTATTTATGTATTACTTTTAGTTTGCTGTAATCAGAAGTGTCTGGATGATGATGGTAACCACGTTGAGCACCTCTTATAACTGCAAAAGTCAAACATGTCTTTTATTCATCTTTTGTTATTGGTATATAATGAGCACTACAGTTTTAATACAGTTTTTTAATTTCTTAAAATGTGTGTACTTTTTTGGCTCCCTCTGTATAGCTATATCTGTATTTAAAGTCTAGAATTCTGAGCCGGGTGTGGTGGCTCACGCCTGTAATCCCAGCACTTTGGGAGGTGGAGGAGAAAGGATTGCCTGAGTCCAGGGGTTCAAGATCAGCCTGGCAACTTGGTGTGAGACCTTGTCTCTACAATAAGTCAAAAAATTAGCTGGGTATGGTGATGCACGCCTGTAGTTCCAGCTACTTGCAAGGCTGAGGCAGAAGGATCACCTGAGCCTGGCAGGTCGATGCTGCAGTGGCTATGAGCATGCCACTGCACTTCAGCCTGGGTGACAGAGGGAGACTGACTCAAAAAAAAAAAAAAAAAAGAAAATGTGGAATTCTGTAGCCGTCTTATACCCTAAAGGAAGCCAGCCCAATGATAAAGCCAACATCTAGAGAATGACTGGATGGAGAGATAGAAAGAATCAGGAAAATCAACCAGCCCTAAAATCTGCCCTACTTCTGTCATGTGAGATAATAACATTTCCTTTCTTTATTTCCTTAAGTCAATTTGAAGTGAGATTTTTTCTTTTAACTTGCATTTAAGGTCATCTAAACAGATAACATGCTAAGTTTTTAAATATATTATCCAATAATCCTATATGATGGGTATAATTATTATCCTATTTTACAGATGAGGAAAATGAGACTTAGTGAAGTAACTTGCTCAAAGTTACATATCTGGTACCATTGGCCCTTCGTATTCGTAAGTTCTACATCCATGGATTTAACCAACTGTGAACCAAAAA